TTTTTTTTTTTTTTTTTTTTTTTTTTTTTTTTTTTTTTTTAATTAGTGAAACCCATGATTCTGAGGCTGATGTTTGCCCTAACATTTTAAGCTTGCTAGATTGGCAGCACTTGAAGTGAATTCCAAAGGTCTGGGGCTTTCGGGGTTTCAACTCATTCACTTCCAGACACACTGAGGTGCCACTCAAAAAGTGCAATACCACATGTAATATAAAATATGCTGACAGCTGGTGTTAGATTAGAATATAAGTATATAAATAAACTGTACTTTGTGCAGGCTGTACTGATGAGGTAATGAGTGGTTGGCTTAATTTAGCAAATTGTAATATATTTTAAAAATGTGCAATCAATTACGTTATGAAAGACTTTGGGGATTGCAAAGCCAGGATTTTGGTTTTTGAAGATCCTTTCATAGTCAAGCTCTTGCAGTTAATTACTGTACACGTAGGTATTTGACAATGTTGTGGGGGGGAAAGGTGTCTTTGTGAAAACTACGGAAGTTCCAGGACTAGTGTGGGAAATGTGAAGTTTTTTCCTTAGTTCTGCTAAACCCTTTGGAGTAGTCCAACAGACTTCCCATTATTCTGTATTGACTGTTACATACTCCTTTTTTTTCATATGAATATTTTTACTCCTGCTAACCTTGGGCATACTTTCTAGAGCAAAATTACTTTTGTACATATTACTTTGCAGTCAACACTAATGGTGTAGCTCTTTGAAAACATGGCTTTGTTTCAATGAGTTTTAACTGTTTTGTTTGCAAAATCTGAAACCCTGTTGGCTTTAACTCTTAATTTAACAGAGTAAAATTGTTGCACAAATGCCACATTAGGTGCTACATGATCATTATTTATCTATTAATGAAACAATGTTTTACTTTTTTTTTATATAGGAGGATGGTTGGACTTTTCCAACCAGGATGGAAAGAGAACTCAAATCTTTTGCATCCTATGAGCCCACCTTCTTTTGTACTTTACCCCTTCTTAATGATATACTTGTGTAAATATGGGTATAAATGTCTTTCAGTTCAAGCATACAGTGTTTTGCACCCTTTTTGCACAAACAGAAAGGTATGAGGAATCAGGCTCTGTTTCCAAAACTTACTGCAACTAAATGCTGTGCATGAGCTGTGGAAGTTCATATGGGCGTCAAATAATAAAAGAAAGGAAACAGTGATATAGACATACTGTGATGTGGGGTAATTATAGTTGGTCTTTTTTTTAATGGGGAAGATCATGGGTGTAAAGCTATTGTTCCTACTGTAACCAAGATGGGCATTTGGAAAACATTCTGCTGGTGTTTCAGGGGGGAAAAAGGGTTTTCCAGCTTCAAAGCATTTAATACTAATTACCTTACCTTGTTACACCACTTTTCTGATATAAATTCACTGAAGATAATGGATTTACTATTGACTTAGGTTGATGTAAATAGGGTGATGTCATCTGTTCTCAATATCTGAAATAAGATCTGCTTATTGACTGTGAAAACACCTGTGACTGAGCTCTAGATTGTTTTGGATTGCTTGGAATTGGAATTTTTATTTTCTTTAATTATTCCCACTTCATGGACATTGGAAAATGTTCCCTTTATTCTGAGTATCAAACGCACAAAACACTAAGCAGCTTGTTTTGGGCTTCAGTTAAATCTGAACACATTGTTCCTGCAAAACTTTGTAAGAAAACTGCTGGAGCAAGGAGCCCAGTACGTGTTATTGCAAAGCATTAGGAAGAAATGAGTGAAATATCACTTTAAAGACTAACCTCATCAGTTGTGAAGCTAGTCATGTTTGATTTAATGACAAATCAAGCAGGTTGCTGCTGATTAGTTTTTTTCTGAAATATGTTCTTTGCTTTCCTGGAGGCAGCTCAAAAAGCACCTCTGACTTATGCACAATTTCTGTTCAGAAGGAGTGCATTTGCAGGTTTTTTCAGACATAATTTCAGTATAAATTGGGGGGAGGGGAGAGAAGGCATTTAAGCATTTAAATAAAACCAAAACTGTCAGTGCTTTGGTATCTTGTGGTGAAGATAAGCCTGCATATTAAAGACAATTTAGAAATTACTGAGCTCGTAGAGAACTCTGTATGTGCTGACCCTGCTGCTGGTCTTCTGGAGGATTGGTTTGGTTTTTCAGCTTCCCTTTCCATGTAAAATGTTAAAAGCCCTTTAGCAGTCAGTAGCATGTGTTTGTTGACAACTTGAGGCATTTTCTTTGTCATTCTACGACTGGCATGTAATTTGTCCTTTAATAATGGCACGTTCCAGCACCTGTTCTAAGTGATAATTGTGAGTTCCTCCTGTTCTGCATGTCTGTACAGGTTGCAGATGTGGGCTGGGCCCATTCCAAAAGAAAAACAACAAATGAAAATGAAGCCACTGAAATTAGTGTTCTATTGATGTCTTTAACATTTTTAAAATATTACAAGTTAATGAAAATGGTGTGGTATTACAGAGAGAATTGTAATTTGCTGCTTCTGAGATCTTTTTTTTTTAATTTCCATGGTTTCTTTTTAATTTTTGTTTTACTTGAAAGAAGAACCACATTTTCATTGTTGGTTTTATATGGCTTTCGTTTGTTTTTTTTAATACTATGTAGCTGTAGATATCATTGCAGTTTGTTGAATCCCCATTTTAATTTTGTAATATACGTTTCATGCAAATAATGAATTTTTATCTTTTTTGTGCTGAAAGTTGTCTCAGTTTAGGGTAAGGTTCTCTGTCCAAATTGATGGGTAGCTCACCACTCAGCCTTGCAGTTGACAGTGTGTGGGTTGGTTTTTAATCTGTGTTCTTGAAAGAAGCCGACTAGAAACTGCATATAGAAGTTTTCAGTTTGCATACACTAACCCAAGTCTAGGTGCCCTGGTCTTCAGGAAGTTCTGATTTCTGTGTGCAGATAGAACACAGATGTCATTACAAACACTCTAGATTCACAACAGTAAATGAAATCAGAATTAGGCTCTGTGTATACTGAAGTCCCAGACTACTTGTTCATATGATTCAGTATGAAGGGTGCTGTTTTATGATAGGAATGGGTACTAGCTGCCTGATTAAATCCTTGACTGTTTTATTTGGAAATAGTCTTTCTTTATTAACTAGCCTTTTTAGCTCTAATTCATAACTGTGGTAATTTTGTCTGTAGTGGCTTTTATCTGTGGGACTTTTGAGGTTTATTGCTTATTACCTTAAAAAAAAAACCAAAAAACCTCTTAGTTTCTTCTTCCTACTTGTGAACCCACACTCGGGAGAAATACAGTTGTTGTTAATGCAGTATTTAGAGTACAGCATTCTTTACTTCTGAGCTTTCTGAGATAGAATTCAAAAGTACAAGACCACAGTACAGAGGTGGGCCCCTTCCTTCTCCAACACCCCTCTCTGTGAAAATGGACATGCCCATAGTCTAAGAACAACTTAAAATATTTGCAAAAGAAGATTAATTTAAGCAATGCTGTTAGCTTTCCCATTGATTCGCATTAATGTCTTAAGTGTCCTTGCTGTCATTTCTGTATGTGATACAATTTTTTTTCAGCATGAGGGAGGCCAGAAAATATACTATCTTGACTCCTGAGGTCCTGGTGCCAATTCCCCAGTAGCTGTAAAATAGTTTAGGAACCGTTTAGTTCAAATCAATTTAATTAGGAACCTGTTCCAGTATTAGAATTACTCCCAGTTAAACTTGACAACTGTATTGCTGAAGTTACTGAAAGCCTGATTCAAGCAGAATCTCTGTCTCCTGAGGCTCTTATGTCTGCTGCAGTTCAATCCATGAGGTCCAAGATGTGTATGTTTACAGCTGAGCTCTAATTCTGCTTTGTTGGTCTAAATATATTGCTCAATTCCCAGGATTTAGTAATAGTGTTTTAAAGTCTAAATTATCAACTGTACCAGGCTGTCCTGAGTTGTCTTACTGTTTTGTTTGGGGCAAGAGGGAGAGGAAGGGAGGAAAGAGATGAATTCTTCTTGTCTTACAGCCACTGTGGTGTACATTTATATTTTTTTTATTTTTTGAGCATGTGTGTGAATATAAATGTGTAACTTCATCTGGGAGTATCATCTTCTCTTTCCTTTCCCCATTCCACCTCTACAAGTTTTAATTGAATAGCCACATACACTACTGAAATCCCTTTGCCTGCTTTGGAGATCATCCAGTCTGACTGCCCTGTTTGATGCAGGGTCAGCTAGAGCGGGCTGTCCTGTCCACCCAAGAGAGGAGGATTCCCACTAAAAGCTTTTTCTCAATGTTTGAATGAAATTCCTTCCATTTCATTGCCTAACCTCCTTATGTAGGGCACCAAGAAGAGCCTCGCCTGTCTTCTTTACGCCCTCTGGCAGGTATGTGTAGGTGCCCTTGAGCTTTTTCTTCAGCAGTCTAAACAATCCCAGTCCTCAGTCTCGCACTGTAGGTATCCCATGTCTTTATGGCTCTTTACTGGACCAGCTCCAGTATGTTCACGTCACTTCTACTGGGGAGCCCAGCACTGCTGGTTTGGTGTCCCCAGTGTTGAGCAGAGGATCAGGGATCACCTCCCTTGACCGGGATTCTGCTGGCATTTTGCATAGACAGAGCCTAGAAGCATGTATTCTCTTGATGCTTATGCTGCTTTGTTGAAGCTAGAGGCAGTTCATGTCTGCATCAAAAAAGAGAGTATAAACACCCACCAGTGTTGAATACCTTTTCAAAACCTGACAGTTATCTTTGAAATAACCACTATTGGGGGTGGGGGGAGGATGTTGGGATATGTATGTCATTCTGTAATACAGGTCCTGTGGTATAATAGCTAGAAAACAAGACATTTTTAGTAATTATGGGCCAAAACAAGTTTAAGATATGCAGTAAAATGCATGTATTGTTGTACTGAGAAAGTCTTGCAGCACATTTAAAAAAAAAAAAAAAAAAAAAAAATCCCTTCTGCTGTGCTATTCAAGTAACAAGCAAACTTTGGCCTGTGCCATTTAATTGTAGTTCATGTTCATGGGGAACTGTTAAAAGTCTTTTTATTTATCTCCATTGTCTGTATCACATGCTGTTAATTAAAAAAATACTACTTGGGGTTTTTATCACACTTTTGAATGTTACTGTATATACTAAAAACTAAATTAAAATAATATGGTTGGTACACTTGTTCTGAAATGAGAATTTATAGCAGCTCGAGTTGTGGAGGTGTGATTTGGTATTTTGGGCCTTCTTGGAAAGGCTTGAAGAAAGGAGGTAGAAAATGCTTACATCTGTTAATTTAGGTGGGGAAAAATACTGAAATTAGCCTTATTTGTGGGAATAGCTATGTGAGAGGTCTTAACTGCACATGGTGTTCACTGTTGCATACACTGAATAAGTGACTTAGTTCAGATATTGTCCCAAAGCTGTGAGAGGAGAGCAGGCAGTGTGGAAGCGTTTCAGCAGAATGGCGGCAAAGCCTCTCTGAAGTTGATCAGTTTTAATTTTGAGAACCATGAAGATATTTCATCACCAAAACTATATTTAAAAATAAAAACTAGGTTGCATTTTTGTATCTATTGCTTACTTTTAAAAAGTGAGAAGCTTATTTTGGAAATTATACATTGACAAGTGTGAGAATGTGGGCTTGTAATAGAATTGCAAAAGTTCTGTGTTTTATTTTAGCCTTCAATGTCCAACAAACTGTTACTGTGGGAGGGATTTGAGTTCTCTTGCTGAGGATTTGACTTTTTGGAGGCATGAGGAATGCATCAGGATGTAATCAGGTCACCACTACGTGTCTTTGGTTCACTCAGTTATTTCAGAGCACAAATAGAGCTCTATATGGAGAGGCCTTTGTCAATAAAAGTGAAAGGCGACCTGAGAGAGCATTTATCTCCCAGACTTCACCCAGTCTATTCTCAGCAAGACCTGATGTTGAAAGAGGAAGATCTTTGCCTGAGATCTGTTCTGTACTCCTCACATATCCAATAACTGACTGAGGTGGCAGAACATAAGGAAGTGCTGTCTTTCTCTGATCAGTGGTGTTGTCCGCTGGGTGCAAACCTTAAGGGATGCCCTGAAACCCATATGCTCCACAGCTCCTTTGCTTTCTCTGTGAAATGTGAGTCAGGTTGGGGCCTTCCAGAAAGGAAAGAACAAGTCCTCCTACAAGGAGCTAAGATGCCTAGATTTGTCACCTCTTGGCTGCACAACAAGATATTCTAGCTCTGCAGCTTGCAAGCTCAAAGCTGAAGTGCCTCCCATCCCAACAGCAGTCTGCTTCTGCTGCCACAGGTAGGTAGAAGTTACCATGTGCTAAGTGTTTAATTAAACACTTTACCCCATTCTTATTTCGGCTGATTGAAAAGAACATGACCTGTGTTGCCTGTTTAAATCAGGAGGTTACTTCCACCTGGGCTTCCTTCTGTTTCCAGTTAGAGCAAGTTCAGCATGATTAAATCTGACCCTGATCTGTTTGAAGATCTCAGGAATGTGGCAGTTTCAAAAGCGAAATGAATTTTCTTTCTAAAGCATTGATGAAACCTTTTGGTGCCTACAGCTTTGAACTGTATCTATGACTTCAAAGGCGATCCTCACATTTTGTTCTTTCATTGTCTTGCCTTTTTAGCTGTGTGGTTGGGCTGTGCTGTTCTTTGTGGATTTCTCTTTGTGGAAGAGAAATTCAGCCAAAACGCAAAGACGACATTGTGCTTTATGTGAAAGTGGCTTGGCTACCATGATTGTGTCTCACTGAGGACTGGATTCAAAGAAAAGGGCTGGGTGGGTTTGGTTTTCTTGGTTTTTGTTTTGTTTGGGTTTGTTGGTTTTTTTTTTTTGTTTTTTTTTATATTTTGGAGGAGAGGTTGGTTTTGGATTGTGTTGCTGCCCTCCACTGGGCACTAGGGAAAGTGTTTTTTTTCATATTCACAGCGTTTACCTAGGAAACTTTGCCATGAACAGAAATATGTGAGCATCCACCCAACTGGATGGCTGTAGCTAATTTATGGGGACTTCATCCAAACCAGTCTTGGAGGAAACCCAGGCTCCTATAACTGAGATAAACAGTGCAGAACAAACCAGAAAGAGAGATGCTAAAATCTTGTTTGGTAATTCTCAAGAGCAGAGAGATGAATTGTGTTATTTTCTGAACCCTCCGAAATGTGCTTTGAAAAGGACCACAGTGCTTGTATTCGTGCTGCTTGCCTTCATCGTGCGTGACCATATGGTAAAAGCACGGTTGGTAACCTAATCAGCTGCCCCTAGAGCTCTGTCTGGGAAGTCAGAAAAGGCTGAAGGTAGGATTTTATAAACTAAGTCCAGCACAACGACGACAGCCTTTGGTGCGGAAGAATTGGCCCTCAGCCAGCCTCCAAGGCCGAGAGGCAGCTCCTCGTATAATAGCGGGGCGGAGGAAAAGCCCCTCGCCCCCCCCCAGCCTGACCGCTGTAGCGGAGCCGGGAGGCGGCCTCCTCTCCGCACCGCGCCCTCCAGGGGGCGCCGCGATGGCGGCCGCCGCTCGGCCCGCCCCGCCCCTTCCCCCGCGGGGTGCGCCGCGTCCGGAGGCGGCTGCGGTGCGGGCTGGGCGCGGAGAGGAAGGTGAGTCCCGGCGGCGAGGCACGGGAGGGGCGGCCGCGGCGTCGCCCGGAGCCCTGGGGATCGGCGTGGCACCCGCGGGCGCCCGCCTCCCTCCGGCCGTTCGCCGCGCGGGGCCGCTCACCGCCTTCTCCCACCCGCCCCCATTTTAAGCCCTGTCCCCGGCGCCATTTGAAGTGCAAAGCCGCGGCTCGGTGCCTCCTCGCCTCCCCCTCCGTCGGCCGCATCCCGCCGGCCGCAGCCGTGACTCACGCTCGGTCCCGCGCTCCCGGTGCCGGCTGGTGGCTGGGCCGTCCCTCACGGAGCCCGCGCTGCTGCCTCGCTCTGCCCCCGCCCCTCCGGTCCCGCTAGGCCGCGGCTCGGGGAGGGGCGGCGGGGCTGGCGGCCTCGCCCCGCCGCGGTCTCGGTGCGTTGTGGGCTCTTCCCTCTCGACCGAAGCGATGGCGGCGTTCGATGCCTCCGATACAGCACTGAAGCGGTTCGCCCTGAGGTTGGCCCGTTACAATAAAGCCGTGCTTCGTACCGATTGTTCCATCTCACGAGAACGTCGGTAACGTGATGGGAGATGTGTTTTTTTTCTCTCGGTTCTGAAGCTGGGCCTGTGAGCGCCCTAATGCTGCGGAACGCCTCGGGTTCCGTTTGCAGCACTGCAGTTCTTTGGGCCGACGCATCAGCCCAGCCGGTTTGGTGTCATCTCCTTTCCCTTCGGGAGCCGCAGACAAAGGGCAGCCCGGGCTGTGCGCTCAGCAGCGCTGATGCTCCCAACCGAGCACTGCTTTCGACTCCATGTGGTATTTTTTAGCCTTACAGTTAGTAATAGTTGTGTGTTTGTTTCTGATGTGATTATTTGGGGGACTGTTTCTTCTTTATTTTATGATTAAACTATATTAAATGCTGTCCTTCTGCAGATGAAGGCCTCGTGCTGCTGTACTTGCTGTACGTGGCTGCAGTGCAGCTGTCAGCCTCCGAGCTGCTCTGCTTGCTGACGCTGAGAAGTGTGGGATTTTGGTAAGATGGCATCAATTCTGTTTTCGTTTCCAACGTGAAAGTCTCTGAAGGTCACTGCCCCAGAGTATCTAATCTCTGACAGAAGGCAGCATGCAGGAGAGCTGCTTGTAACATACCATGCAGCGGCTGCAGTCTGTATGGTGAGCCTTCTTATTCCTGGGGCAGGAATACAGAACTATTTGTTATTTGTGTGCTTTTAATATTTTCTTAATTGTAACAGAATAAATAGGGGGGATGTAAGAAAAACTCTTTGTGTGGTGTTTGGGGTTTCAGAATACTTGTATTGTTTCATGAAAAGTATAAGCTGATAAATACAAGTTTAGCCAATTTTTGAATGTTTTCATTTTATGATTAACATAGACTGTTCAAAATGAATGAACATCCTAAGAAGAGGAAACGGAAGACACAGCACCCTTCTCGATATTCAGGTCAGCCTAGAGCTCCAATTCATTTAATTTTTCTCAGATTAATAGCTTTGTTATGTTTGTACCTGGAAAATAAGTAACATACAAGGGCTGGGTTAAGATGCCTTCTACTGAACATGCAAGATGCCCACCCTGCATGCTCTGTTCTTAGGCCACTTTCAGTCTGTGCATCTGAGCAGGTTTGTTCTCTACTCCCTGCATGTTGGAAAGCTTGCACAGACCATGAAGTGGAGATGATTCTACTGACACACAAGGGGAGAAATTCCCTGGAAGTTGGGATTAAGGGGTCAGTAAGCATTGCAGTCCATAAGCATTCAGCACTGCGTTAGCTGTGCTCCTTTTACTGTTTGAAAGGAAGTTCAGCAACAACCGTATGTGATGCTCTGAACACTGGGACAGCAGCAGAAAGCTGTAAATCAGAACAGGAACATTAGCAGACCAGCACAGAATGCTCATAAAGCAAGAAGTAAAAACATAGCTAGAGAGAATTTTAGTGCACACTGAATCCATATGTAGCTACATCAGTTTGTTAGTGCTAATCATTTTTTTTTTTGTTTGTTTGTTTGTTTGTTTGTTTTTTGTAATACAGATTCTTCAGGTGCCCCTAAATATATAGACAATAGTGGGATTTTTTCTGACCACTGCTACAGTGTTTGTTCTATGAAACAACCAGACATAAAGTATTCTGAAAACAGAGGTAAGAGTGCATGTTGGGGTCTTGCTATGTAATGCTTGACTAAGTGTATTGTGCTCTGATTTGTAGAAATAAATAGAAAACAAAACAGATAGTGGTTGTTTCCTGAGTATTGTTCTGATTTGATGTCCCTTAGACTCAGTATTATATCAATTATATTAAGTAAAAAAATCCTTCTTTTATCTTTGCAGGTAGATACCATAGTCCGGTGCAGAGCATAGACACAGATGATGACGGGAGTCCAGTGCATGCTGGGACTTCTCAGTGGAGTGGGTCACATTCAAACGTAGGGTTGCACTATACAGACCCTAAAAAGAAGGATAAAGGTAAGTGTGCATTTGCAGCTTACATACTGGGAGGCTGGAAGCCACGTATACTGGTGTTTAATGTAACAAATGCTTTACTTTCTTGGTTTGGCAGAAGAGATCGAGGTTTTTTAGCTTACATTATTTATTTGTTAGTTGTAGTCTCAGTGCCTGAATGATAATATTTGCTTTTTGCACTTATAGGCTTCTACAACCAACTAAATATGCGCCCAGCTTCTTTGCAGGGTTGTTTGTTTTTGTTTTATTTTGTGTTTTAAACTGACCTTTATTATCTACTTGCTCCTACAGATAAAGCTGCTAATAATGGAATGTGCAAAGACGTATGTGACTCACCTATATTCAGTGACAGCCCTACAGAAGAAGAAAAACCTCTTGATATTCAAACTGTAGAAATTTCTACAACAGAAGTTAATGCTGTAGAAGTCCATGATATAGAAACACAAACTGTGTCACCTGAGAAGCTAGAAGCTGAGGACCTAGAGGAGATCCCTCTTGAAACCTGTAAAATCTTTGAGAAGAACCAGGCTTTGAATATCACAGCTCAGCAGAAATGGCCTTTGCTGAGAGCCAACAGCAGCGGCCTGTACAAGTGTGAGCTCTGTGAGTTTAACAGCAAGTACTTCTCTGATTTAAAGCAGCACATGATCCTGAAGCATAAGACGTGTGCGGACACTCATGTCTGTAAAGTTTGTAAAGAAAACTTCTCCAGCAAAGTGCAGCTCATTGAACATGTGAAACTGCACGAGGAGGACCCATACATCTGTAAATACTGTGATTACAAAACGGTGATATTTGAGAATCTGAGTCAGCACATAGCAGACACTCACTTCAATGACCACCTTTATTGGTGCGAGCAGTGCGATATGCAGTTCTCCTCCAGCAGCGAGCTGTACCTGCACTTCCAGGAACACAGCTGTGACGAGCAGTATTTGTGTCAATTCTGTGAGCATGAAACAAACGATCCAGAAGATCTGCACAGCCACGTGGTGAATGAACACGCGTGCCGACTGATAGAGCTCAGCGACAGCTATCATAACAAGGAGCGTGGACAGTACAGCCTCATAAACAAAATCAGTTTTGACAAATGCAAAAACTTCTTTGTATGCCAAGTGTGTGGCTTTAGGAGCAGGCTGCATACAAACGTCAACAGGCACGTAGCTATTGAACACACCAAAATATTCCCTCATGTTTGTGATGACTGTGGAAAGGGCTTTTCAGGTATGTTGGAGTATTGCAAGCATTTAAGCTCTCATTTATCTGAAGGGATTTATTTGTGTCAGTACTGTGAGTATTCAACAGGACAGATTGAAGACCTTAAAACCCATTTGGATTTCAGGCATTCCACAGACTTGCCACATAAATGTACTGATTGTTTAATGAGATTTGGAAATGAAAAAGATCTTCTAAGTCATCTTCAGATACATGAGACAGCTTGATTATTTTCTTTCCCTGCAATAAGCTTGTTAGGATTGGAATTAAAAACACAATATTAAATACAGTTTTAATAGCACTTGTACAATTATAATGTTTTTATGTCAACGAAGCATGTGTAATGGCTTGGTGTTAGGAATTTCCTTTCCTAGGAGTTTCCGTAGGTATAATCACACGTACAGTGGGATGGATCGCATTCTGGGGGGAGGGACAGTGGGAATAGTTGCATGTCATAATAGTTCCAACTGTTATCCCACACTTTCACATGAAAGGTACAACAGCAGCTCTTTGGAGTTTGATATGACAGAGGGAAAGCCAGCTTCTCCGTCCATGCTGAAGTAATACCATACTGATCTCAGCTGCATCTCCTACTCATGTTATCCTCCACAGCAGCAGGGCACTGCTCACTTTTAGAAAATGGCACCAGCCTGCTGAAGATAACTGAGTTCCAAAAATTCCTGGGCATGAGAATGTCAAAATTCATATGTCAGCCTGTATTGACCACCTTGTATTCTTGATAAGCTTTTAAAATTGGTGCGTCTTTCTCTCAAGGTTACCTATCCTACCTCATCGTTTGTTTGAGTCTTTGGTCAGTGTTCAGTTTCAAATCCTGTCCCAACAATGCTTTCATCCACACATTTAGTAGGGACTGCCAACATCACTTTCATTTCTTTTATTTACCTTCACTTGCTGTCTTTGTTTTGATGCACAAAGGAGACATGTACTGCTTGTGTGCAGTCTGGGTTGGGTTTTAAGCAGCAATTCTAAGGGGATGTGTGAAGTGATCCAGCTTAGAATATATAGTGTAACTTTCATATCTAAAATCTTAGTTTAGCTCTGAAATATGTCACCAACCTCATTTGGAGAAAGCCTCTGTAAGTAAACTAGTTCATAATTATTCTGTAGATTTATAATTAGCTTTCTATGACTAGTAATTTGAGGGAAGTGATTTTAAATCTGTATGTGATAAACTTAAATGTACTGGTTCAAACACTGGTATGGTTTAAAAAAAAATCATTTAAAAGTGGTTTAGTACAGCTATTCTGATTAGATAGATAGTGTTCTTTGGGCATTACAATCTTACTAAGTGAATTTTTAAGCTTCAGTCCATAGCTGTGTTTCTCAGTGACTGATAGTTGTACAGATAATTAAGGGTGAGATCATTTAGACTGTTTAGCTATCAGGGTGAAGTAATCCATAAAATGGTGGAGTTTGTTTCTGTACTGATTGTAAATTTGTAAGATTGTCTAATGTAAGTATTATATAGGCATAATTAATGTATAAAACATTTCCTGATTGGTGAGACTTAGTGTTATCAGCTCCCAAGTGTGCAAGGGACTTAGCACTGGAGTTTTATAGCTATAAACATTGGCTGAATATAGTGAGTTTATGGAATTTCTGATGTCTAGAGAAGTATTTCCAGAACATCTGAAAAGGAGCCATTTAATACTGGTTTAGTAGGAGGCAGGACTTATTTTTGTTGTATTGAAATGCTGGTTTAGTACCAAATCCTACATGTAATCTTTGAAAAGGACAACCCAATCATATCCTGACTGTATTTTTTTTTTTTTTTAGTTGTATAGGGAATGGCAATGTCTGCACTAGTATCACTAATTTCATATTGCCTGGTTTAATATGGTAGCAATAATGTAGGTTATGGAGTACTAATAAGAATTGTTCTATATGTGGAAGGCTGATTTTGCTCATATGGGTATAACAGAGGAGGGGGGGGGGGGGGGGCGGGGGGGATGCTTGAGCTTCTCTTCCACCCTGCTCTTGGTGGCTCAGGATTCCAGAGTGGCTTCCTGTTGACATATGTCAATTTCTAATCTTTAAAATGGGGATTAAAAGAATATGCTGTAGGAGTGGTATGAAAGCAAATTCCAATCTAAAATGCACACTACAGTGTCTGGATAAGAAATACATTCAGGTTTTACTTAGATAGGATTTCACAAATACAGCAGTGCGGTGTTAGAAAGTAAATGGAAAGTAATTAGAAAGTAAATGGAAATGTATGTGACCAGTTGGTCTCAACTCACCACAGAGGGAGCAGAAATAAGTTACTTAGGCTTATTTTAGGCATGACCAGTCTGCCTAAACAAGAAAGGTATGTAGTGGAAGAAAAAAATAGGTCATGAGTGGAACGTGTTTAGAAGTTGGAGTGCTGGAAGGAATGAGCGTATGTGTGGGGACAGCCTGTTGTTCCCAGGGAAGGCACTGTGCAGTCACTGGGAATTGAGGGCTGGGTGGAAAGCCAGGCTGAGCTCAGAGCATGCCTAGTGCTGCTGGGCCCTGAAATCATCTTTAGCATTAACTGATCAGTCCTGGGTTACAGCTATCAACTGCAGTGATCAGGAGTTTTTGGTAAGCCTTTCCGTTTCAGCTGTTTCTTGCACTGATACAGGCAGGGCTCCTCTGCTGCAGTGACCAGAAGCTCTGCTCAATCTCAGGGTCACTTTGGGAAGTGGTTCATTTAGTGTTTAGGCATCTGAGCCTATAGCTTTTAACATCTGCATCGAGTACCACAGCTTCTGGGAGCACGTTGGCTACCAAATGAGAGAATGTCTTTATATGGAAAAGTTAAGATTAAAATCCCATTTCTTATTGCAAGAACCCGCAGCACAGAGCCCTACTGCTTCTCTACTCTCTCCCCAATGCTTATGGATTGCCACAGTCCTTTGTGCTGCCTTTCTCCTCCAGTTTCATGCAGAAGTCCCAAACGTACAAGCGACGGGTGCTTATGAAGCCCACAAGCGTTCGTCACCTCAGCTACCGGCGTCTGACTGAAGGGCGGTGCTGCCGGCCCGCAGCCCTGCCTCCCGCGCTTTCCTTGGGCTTTCCGAGGGCTGTGAGGGGTTACGGGATGGCCTGGGCTGGAGACAGCTTTCATGTGCAGATGTTCCTGCTGGCACTGGGCTGCACCTAAACCGCTGTCTGGGGAAGAATCTATGGCAAAAAATATAAAATATATCTATTTTAAAAATTAACCATAGCCCTGGCAGCTGTAAAGGGCAGAGAGGGGCTACTTCCCCTCAGCGCCCCGTCTCCATTTCACACGCGGTCGTCCCTCCGCCCTCCTTGCAGATGGCGGCCGCCGCCCCGCGACCCCTCACTAAACATGGCGGCCGCCGCTCCGTCCTGCGGGCGGAGCCGGGAGGTGAAGGGGGAGGAGGCGGAAGTGGAAGTGGCGTCGGTGTGCGGCCCGGCGGCGGGGCAGGAGGCGGCAGCGGCGGCAGCGCGGTGCCCCGCCGGCGGCGCGGCGGTTGCCTGGTAACGGCGGGGCCTGAGGAGGAACGGGGGCCTCGGCCCGCAGCGCTGTCCGACCTGCGGGGCTGCGCGGGGAGCTGCGGCCTGGCCTCGTTTGGCCCCGTCCGTGATGCCCGGGCCTGGCCGAGAGAGAAGGCTGTGACCTCCGGGCGGGAGCGGGGTTAAATGGAGGACTCTGGGTGAGGCGTGCTTGGGAACGAGCCGTACGGAGCCGTACGAAATCGGTGCTGAAGCTGTGCTTTATGAGCAGCTGTCAGCGTGAGTGGTGGGGAGGGTGAAGGGTTTGCCAGCATAACACCTTACTTCCATCGGTTACGTTGTTGTTTGTTTTAATTACCTGAGAGCTGATCTGTTTTAATTACCCAGTGTGCTGAGAGCACGTTGATTTTCACTGACGCGGGCTCTCTGCGTGTTTCGGTCACTTGGTGCAACTTTCCTCACAGTTACATAATGGCAGAAGCCGCCGTGTCCCCGCTGAAGCACTTCGTGCTGGCCAAAAAGACCATCACTGCCATCTTTGAGCAGCTGCTGGACTACGTCACTGAGGGGGCTGCTTTTGTGGAAGGTCAGTTTGTGACTTGATGTAAGGCCTGATCCATTGCTTTGAATTGACTTCGTGGTAGTGCAGCATGTGTTATGGTACACATCTGTGTGCTGCTTGTGTGAATATATGCCTTCAGACATCGCTGTGCTTTTTGCTTGAGGAAAGTGAAATGCTGTGCTAGTAGCCATACCTGGGATGGTTGTGCCTAATAATAGCTGGCTGCATCGTGTGGCATTGGCTGCTTTCTGTGATGTTGGAAGCTGAGCTACCTCATGTGGGTTGGGGCCACTTACAGCCCCGTTTCAGTTCATTGCACAAAGAAAAGCATTGACAGGCTGTGCTACCTGTTAAGCAGGTTGATCTCTCTGATAGGAAAGTGGATCATAAAGATGTGATGTAAAAACCTGTGGTTACAACACCACAGGTTTCAGCAGTGTGGAGATGCACATTGCCACACAGCTTGGTTGCTCATCACTCCGCTGAGCTCTGTGCTGAAAGGGCAGCCCAGCCTGGCTCTAGTGTCCATGGCAGTCCTTGTTTGGCTTTCTGAAGGAGGCAGTGTCACAAAGGCCAGGCAGTAAGCCCATGGACACAGCCTGATGTGCTGAAGAGGGCCGTTCATATTCTGAGATCTCTGCATTCTCTTTAAACATAGATCGTTTTTAACTTTAGTAGTGAGTTTGTTGATTCATCTGTAGTGATTTAACATGATTTCCCGAGTGCTCTGTGGAACTCTCAAATGATGGGCTCACATCATGGAGTTATTTTTGCTTTCCTACTGCTGCATAATTAAAATTTAGACATATCTTTGTCATGCGAAGTATTGATAATGTAGGTCTTGTATCCTGGAGTGTGCATTCTGTATGTGATAGCTTTTGTTGGTTTTTTTTCTATGTGTAGCAACATACAGGAACCCAGAGCTTGAACGTATAGCAACAGAAGATGAATTAGCAGAAATACAGGCATATAAAAAGAAGTTAGCAGTCATCGGTGAAGTGCTTTCACGGAGACACATGAAAGTGGCATTTTTTGGCAGGTAATGAATGAATTTGATCTCTTTCAGAACTTAACATCCATGTTTGTAACTTACCTGCACCAGAATTAGTTCATTATATGATTATTCTTTGAACGTGCTCACTCCTCCCCTAATGGGTGCTAAACATTTCTGTGACACCATCTTGTTCTGTTTGTGTAGTTTAATTATGTATGTCTTGCTACATATTTTTATGGGTAGGTTACATAAAATGTTTTTTTTGTGTAGGTCTATTATTTGACTTAGGAAGATGAGAGTTAGTTGCCCT